GAAGAGGAGGCTCAGGGGAAACCTCATCACTCTCTACAACTCCCTGACAGGAGGGTGTAGCCAGGTGGGGGTCAGGCTCTTCTCCCAGGAACCAGCAGTAGGACAAGATGACTCGGCCTTAAGCTGTGCCAGGGGAGGTTTAGGCTGGATATTAGGAAGAAATTTTTTACAGAGAGAGTGATCATACACTGGAATGGGCTGCCCAGGGAGGTGGTGGAGTCACCATCCCTGGAGGTTTTTAAGATGAGACTGGATGTGGCATCAGTGCCATGGTCTGGGAACCACGGTGGTCGTGGATCAAGGGTTGGACTTGATGATTTCGGAGGTCCCTTCCAACCCAGCTAATTCTATGAGTCTCTGATTCTCTTCTGTCTTTGTATTTATATATATATGAAAGCAATCTCTGAAAATGAAAAATTAAGTATGATGTCCAACAAAAATGTCAAAGAGCCACTGCATCTATTCCAGGTATACCTCCAGATTGTATGTACCTGCTCTGGTTTGTCTAAGAAACGTTCTGACATCTTCTAAAGTATGATTATATATCAGATCAAGCTTAATACATTTTTAATTCCTTCCCTTGAAGTTCCACCCACTACCTTTTTTCTTGATTAATAACAGCTTTACCAACAGCAATTCATCTGTAATGTAGGCATTTAAATTTTAGTTGAAATTCCAGATACTTGATATCAATGCTACATCCAAGATTCAGATTCCTTCTGTCCAGCATAAAGGCTTTTTTGTGCATCTGTAAATGCATCTGTAAATCTAGACTAGGTTATCATAATTTCATAAACTGACTGCTGCAACATTCTCAAGTCTAATCTTGCTTGTTCATGTCAGAATGCTGCTGCAAAAGATATCTTCCTGAACTTTTAGATAGAAATACATATATTTCAATTTCAAGGTCTTTCACAGTCTTTTCCTTTCCCTTCTTTATTCTGAATGAGTATTCAATCTCTGGTTGGCCTAGGGAACCAATTTCCATAATTTATCTTCTCTCTTTAAATGATGATTATTTTTTTCATCTGCTCCTCAGACTTAGGAGACTCCTTCATAAACATCCTCAAAAACGTTTTTCTGTTCATCTTTATCACGGTGTTTTCAAAACACTAACCAGAACTGAAGATGCTCATCAGACTTCAATTATCGTGATTATCAGTATTGTACGTTTTCTATGCTCTCCATTTTTTCCTAGCCCTATGTAATCCCCTGTATTGTATTCATATTTTTAACTCTTTGGGGGAGGGAGTTTTTTGTTCCCCAAACTGGACAGTTACTAGAGGGAAGCAGTACATAAATAGGGATGACTGATGATTACTGTGGTGACAGCAATAACGTACATTTTTAATTCACCTTTTCAATTTACCTAGTATCTTTTCTTTTAACATTTGTCGTTAGATTACACAGAAAATAGGATTTGTTTTATTGTGCATGATCAATGTCTCCTGCTTTAGCTGTACTTCTTTATTCTCTCTATTCTATTGAATAAAATGGATTTTAGATTGTTTTCTCCTGATGCAATTGTTCACATTTTTTAATCTGAATCTCTTTGTTTTACAATGCTCATGATTCTAATCTCCCTAAATCCTTTTGTATGATCTCCGTCCTTCCTCATTTGTACAATTTCTCCTGTTTAAACATAATCTGCAAATTTACTGACTTTTTGTGTAATCCCTTTCCCAGAACTCCATTAATGAAGACAGAGAATAGGACTGGGTTTAAAACTGGGTCAAGTGATACATGAACAAGCACTTTCTGTTATTCACTTAGCCATCTCTGTGTTTAAATGATGTAGATGTTTGTATGCACAATGCAATAATGCAGCTTACCTGGACTCTTAAGAAAAGGGGACAAGCATAACTTGGTAGATAAGTCACTACTTGCTTATACGTTTGCTCCAAGTCTAATGATGTATTCTGCTTTAAAATAACAGAGGCCATTCCTGCTTTTCCTTCATGATCTGGGGAAAAAGAAGTGAGATGAGAATTTTGAAAAATGAACGAAGTTGACATTTTAGAGATGAACCTTACAAAAAAATACTGTAGTGCAATAACAAACTGACAGTCACATATCATCTTCTGAGTTTCAATAAAGATGCAAGATTGCATTCATATTTTATGTAGTATTATTTGGAGATCATTCAGGCAATCAATTAAGCAATAATGCTGTAAATGAGTGTGGTGGGTAAGAGCAAATGGAGTCCCATGCTTGATATTAATCAACTAAGGGGAATAAATGTCAACACCATTCCTCTCTCAGAAACAAGACTGATGAGCCTCTTTCCTGGATTAGCCAATTATGCTTCAGTTTTAGTCTCTCTTGCCAGCATCTTTTCTCAAAACTGTGGATCTGCAGATTGTTAACAGAGAGAGAGAGATTAAAAGTTCTTAATTGTTTTGTCTGGAAAGAGAGAGCACTTTGTGTCTTTGGGAAAGAAAAAATGGATAAAATATAAAAGCAATGAACTTCAGCAGTCAAAACTAACTGCACACTTTAACTATCAGCTAGTAGTAACAGCAGAGATGTTCTGCCTTATCTTTGTTTTGTTTTGGTTGGTTGGTTGCTGATACTACAAAACCTGTAATGAAACTTGGTTTGTTTATCTTATAAGTGCAATTATCAAGACAGTCACATAAACTGGGTAGGTAAGCAGATAAATGTTGTACAGGAAATGAGCAGCTCTCATATTTTGGAGTCTGATCTTCAGACAGTCTTCTTTACTATGATCTTTCTTGTTGTATGGCTTTAAAATACAAGTAAATTACACCTTTTTCACATTTTGAACAGCTTGTGTTTACCCATGCCAACAACCAAACATCCAGCCAGCTTCTTAATCACTCCCTTCTCCCATGGGATGGGAAGGCAGCAGAAGGGAAAGCAAGACTTGGCTATCAAGATAATGGCACTTTAATAGGGAAAGCAAGAGTTACAGGCACAAGCAAAGCAAAACCAGGACATCATTCAATGTTTGCCATCATCAGGCAGATGTCCTGCTACTTCCTGTAGGGCAGGGCCTCACTCAGAACATACAGCGGTTGTTTGGGAAGACAAACGCCACAACCACAAATGTCTTGTCCACTTCATTTCCTCCAGGTTTTATCATGGCATTGTATGATATGGAATATCCTTTTGGTTAGTTTCGGCCCACTCTCCCATCTACATCTGCTCCCAGAAGTCCTTGCCAATCCCCAGTATACTTGCTGCAGGGAGAAAGCCTGGTACAATGCAAGTTTTGATCAGTGATATCCAAGCACTGGTAAGTTATCAACACTGTTTTAGCCACAGCACCATACATACAGACTCCTATACAGAAACTTATTTCTATCCCAGCCAGAACCTAGTATACATTTTTTAAAAAAATTTAACGTGAATAAGAATCAAGCCCATAAGATCTCATGAAAAATATCAAAACAAAACAAAAATTATTAAAAATAAATTAATGTATTTTGTTTCTTAATAATTTATTTACTTTACTCTTTGTATTGTTTTTCACTTTGTCCTTGGTTTTGTGATATTAATTGTTTACAGTTATTTTATGAGGCTAAGTGAAAAGTGAAATAAGATAGAATAACGTCTTCATACATTTTCCTTTAGAGTTACTTTATTCTTACCTTATTGACCTTTTATTTGGACACAGGGATGTCTGGATTTTCCACAGGTGTGAATTTAATAAATCTTAAATTTAGGTTATGTAGCTCTCACAAATTCATGCATGATAGCTTTTCAAAAATACACATAACTGCATACAAATAAAAATGCATGATTCACTGGCTCATTCACAATCTGGTGGTATTTCATTACCTGCATTTACATTTTAACTAGGTATCAAACAGATGACTCAATCAGAAGTGATTCATGGGTTTAAAATATGAAATCAAAACAGTTATGAGGGTTAACAATTAACCTAGGGGAAGAAACACATACAACTAAAGCTTTTACCTGGCACAGACACACCATACACATTTGCTTCTTGTATGAAGTCCAGCATTACAAGGACATCAGAAACTTCTGTAGTTGCAACGTTCTCCCCTTTCCATCTAAAATGTGAAGAAAATAATCCCATGAAAACATATGGACACATCCTCTTTAAAAAGCATTAACTTTAGTAGAAGCTCCATTCATTTCAGACTAACACCACCTTAGATTTTTCACACTTGTCACATTGGTATATTGATCTGATCACCAGATCATGTTGCAATTCAAATGTTACTGGGTATTAGAATCACTATACCAGACACTGAAAGTTTAAAACAATTGTTTCCAAAATTTTTACATGTATTTAAATGTATCATCTCTTACTATTTGATACATTTTTCTCCATATCATTATCCAACTTGCTTGGTCACAGCAAAACCATCACTAGTTATATGCTTATGGAAAGGAGTGTCTAAAGAGCTGGAATTCCTACCAAACCTTTTGAAAATGTGCTATTCAACTACAGAGGAACACTTGTGACAAAATTAAGCCCCTATCATCCACTTCAGGATCATTATAAACTACATCACAATATAATAAACTGAACACTTGTGGTCAAAACCAAATATGACAGTATTATTCTATTCTGTATATTTTTAATGAAATGTGAAAAGAAACAATAATTATACCTGAAGGTATCTCCAATCCTGTCCCAAAAATATAGAAAATTGTCATGATCTTGAACCATTAGATCTCCAGTATTAAAATAAAGATCTCCCTTCTTAAATACATCACAGAGTAACTTCTTTTCTGTGTGTCTCTTATTGCCAGCATAACCAAAGAAGGGGTTCTTCGCATTGACTTTGGAAATGAGAAGACCAGCCTCACCTATACGGAGAAGTTAAAAGAATATAAACCTAAGGTATCACTGGAAATTTCCTGTATTTGACATTAATATTACTTACAATATTGTCCACTGAAATTCTGAGTCATTTGTACTTCTTCCTAACCACTCATCAGTTTTCTCCCAGAACTGTCACCTATCAATTGTAAGCTCACTAGTAGGTTTATTGTCCTCCCAAAGTGCACAATTCAGGTTAATATTATGTCTCACTCCCCACAGCTTACTGAGTTTCCAATGATGAGTCTCAGCTTCATCAGCTTCCTACTGAAAAACTAATGTTAATAAAAAGTAAGTGCTCAACCCAGGCATTAAGTCCCTATTTAGTCTCCTTTCAGAAGCTCTGAGAACACTTCTTTAAAATATTCATTAAAGTGATAAAGCATCATCATTTTACTTTTTGGAGTAAAATATGAAAGTTTTAATACAATTTTTTTTTCCTCAAAAAATAAGGAGAGACAGGAAAAGGAATATCCTCTTAGGCATCTAGTGTATCAAGGTATTAGTTTGCTGAAAGTGGAATAATTGTAGGAAATAACTTTTTGGGAGCAAGTTGTGAAGAGTAAAGCTTGAGAGTTACATTACTTGGTATCAGAGACAAGAATTATAAACATGAAAATATAAAAAAATGCTTCTGGAAATATGCATAACTTTTAAGACTTCCTCCTCATAAAATACCCGTGCCTGTTTTCCATAAATTGGTAGTATTTACAGTGGAAATATTTAGTTCACTGGCAGTGTCACTGCAGCCATGGTGCTCCGAAGACATAGGGCATGGGTAAGACAAAGACTACAGACAGAGATAATACTTTTTATTAGTCTGAGTGGTATACCAGGTATCTAATTAGAGCCTGTGTTCCCTTAACAGGTCAGTCTGACATCCTTAGAGATAAATTCCTATAAAATTTCATGTTTCAGGGACTTATTTTCTTCAAAGTGCCCACTTCTGTTTAACAGCTGTTAGAGAATCTCTTAACTCCTTTGAAAAATCTGCTTCAATTCCCTGTTAAAACTGTCTGCCTGACCTTTAATATGACTTCTTCTTGCTTGAGTTTCAGCTATTACCTTCCTATAGTTCAAGAGATACTTCAGTATCTAATAAGCACTTGGAAAAATGTTATAATGACATATCAGACATTTGATAAGCATTTTGAAGGCATCTATAATCAAATAATTTTGTTATTATTTTGTTGGGGTTTTTTTTTAATTATTAACCTGAATCACATCATTTAGTCAGAAACAATCTCTCATCAAAAACATTTGCTCTAATCCACCAGTGTTTCCTTAGGCAACCATCTCCCTATGCTAAACTCCTTTAAAAAAACACAGATGTCACTATCTACGTATTCAAAGATAATATCATATCATCACTTTTGAACATCACTGTTCTGTGAATGTATCCAAAGACCTCCTGGGTTCTTCTGGTATCAGCACTGGTATGTTTAATGATGTTTTGTCTTAGATCAAAAATCATATTGCTTTTTTATTTCAGAGCAAAGAGTAATAGCTGTTGTTGGCATATTGCATTAACACAATAGCAAGACTCCTTTAAAAATTCTCTGGAGTGTTTCTATTAAAATCAATAGGCCATAATATCCTATTAATATAAACACTTACCTTTCTTAACTTTTTCACACCAACCATGCTTATTTCTAATTGGTTCATCTTTTTGGAAATCATACTTGATTAAATCAAATGGGAAAAAAAGCTAAAAAAGGGAAAAAGTCATCAGTTACTTATCTACACAGTGACATCTGGTGGCAGCAAATATAAGCTGGGAAACCTGTACTCCAGTCTTCCTCATCTAAAAGGAGAATGCAGTTTCATTTAAAACTAAAAATACTCTGCATGTAAACAACGCCATTTCCCAGAGGTAAGCAAAATCAAAACATTTTTATAAATTAAGACAAGAACTGTCCTTTTGCCAATTTTCTTACGAATAAGTTATGGGATCCACATTATCAGTGGAAGAGCCTACATGAGTCAGGATAATAGACGCATATCTAAGTGACTTTTAATGGTGGTGACTGATATGTTCTTGGGATCTTCTGGCCCTGAAAACAGCTGGCAAAGCAAAGGCCTAAATCTCCTCACAAAGGGAAACCTGCTCCCCACTGGGCTTTACCCTTGCTTAGCTAGCCTCAGTTCTTCCCTCATGCTTTCTCAGGCAGGTGTATAGTGGTGGAAAGTGAGCACCAGCAGAAGGATTTGTACTCCCGTGGCTCCAAGGAAGCTGAAGGAGAGGACAAGATACTCTAATCACAACTAGAAATTGCAATTTATTTTTTTTTCTGAAATATACAGCATTTGACTCTTACTTTGCTTCATTTTTTCTACTGTGATAAAAATCCAGGCTGGATCTTTAAGACACACTGACTGACACCACATGCCTGATACCATTTGGACCACTGTGTTTGCAGTTATTATTCTAAGGAGATAGTTTGCCCAGTTTGGGATTCTGTTTTCCTTTTTCATAAAGGAATGTATCAGCAATATTTAACACCTAGTCAAACCAAAGGTATGTAATTATCTTCTCCTGGAGAAATCTTGGCCACCAGGGAAACAATTCTGTAAAACACATGAATGTACACCTGCACTCTTCACAATAGAGAAATGCAATATAATTTAAGGACAGTTTTATGAAAGTGACTGAAGAAAAGGGTAGGATGCAAAAACATAAATGTCTTTGCTTTTCTGCAACTAATTTGGAAGAAGAGTTGCGTAATTGTGTTATCCTAGTTTGAACTGCTGCCGTAACTATATCAAATAATTTTGTTTTCAAGCAAGTCTGAATAAATAGCAACTTGAATCAAATATTAATCCCACAATTTCAGTCTCATCTGGAAAAAATTGTTTCTCTGAGTCTTTTCAATGTGTTTTCCTTCCACCCTAAGCCTGAATCAAAAAGGTACTTTTAACAGTTGATCAAAGGAAAAAGGTCATAGCTTGCAAAATAAAGTAATGATTCAAGAATGGGACACAATTTCCATGAAGTGAGTGGTAATCTTTTTAATTAACCTCAGACTATAAGCATTTACCAAAGTCAAGAATCTGAGAACCAGAAAGATTGCCTCAATTAGAAAATAGCTGTGTTATCCTTGAGGATCAGAATAAGAGTAATTTTTTTCTTATGATCTTTTCTTATGGATGCCTACATTTAAATGCTGCTCTTTTTCGCTTTCTTTTTTTTTTACATTGACATTTATTACTTTAATACATTTCATATGACAGGCCAAATGCAATGAATAATATAAATAATAAAAGTGAAATTGTATAAAATGAAGTGTTATTCTGTTTTTGTGTTTTATTAGAATAGCTTAAAATAATGCATCATACAGAATAGCATGTTGACAAGATACAGCAATTGAGCTTTGAAGGAATAAAGAATTATTTTAAGTTGCTATAAACACTTAGAAACTGTAATTTAGTATCTAAGATCACCTAAAAACTGTTGAGATTTTTACTATATATGACCACACTATGTTGATGTATACAACTTTCAATGCCTGCAACTTTAGAGTATTAACTAGGCCTATTCCAGTTAGGTTTTCAAAATAATAGTTGTGCAAATACATAACTAAAAGAAAACACCATGTATTGTATTAGATATGCATAATGAGATCATATAAACACTGTGCAAACAACTGTGTCTGTGCAAAGGTCTTTTCCAAGCTAAATCATTCTATGATTCTAAGCTTGCTTTTCATATTAAATATTAGAAAATGAAAGCTCCACTGCAAAGTATTTTGTCTGGGCACAGACTTACATTTGGTTCACCTCATTATTTAAGATTTAATAGGGAAGAAGACCTGAGCTGTTGAAGCATTACCATATTATTTTCACAGACTACTGCATGCAATATTCATCATTTTAATCTCCATTTTACTCCCTGAAGCACCACATAAATGTAGCAAACAAAAAGCATAATTTAGCTAGCTGAAATTTAAAATGAGTTAATCTGCAACATTATTGTCTATTACTGTGCTGCTTGGATGTTACCTAATAACAGCTTTCTCCGCCTCCTTTTTTTTTTTAATTGACTGGAAATATGTGAGTTTAAATAATGTTTTGAAAATAGTTTTGAAATTCCTAAAGCTTCATTTTGCAGTGAATGCTCACAGAACCTTTATCAGAAAACAAAGATCACAAGCTATTGCTTTTTATTACTTATTTGTTTTAGAGATTAAATATTGTTGAATTCTCCGGAAGAATATCTGTTTATAAAACAAAGCATTATGGGTACTAGATTTAGTTTCAAAAAACTGAAATTTAAGAAAAAAATTCTAGAGCATAGTATCATTATATCTTAGAGATGTTTTTTAAAATATACTTGTAATGCCTTATGTATGCTGTAAAGAGTAGATTCATAGGTCCCCCATATAGTTTTGTTAGCCAAAGTAAACAAAAGCAAGGAAAAAACCCTTTTAAGTTATGATTGATATTAACTGAATCACCACATATAATATGTATTGTAATATACTTGTAGTACCTTAGACTGTTTTGAATAAGAGATTTAGATTGCTGTGATAGTTTGACTACGCTTAAGTTAATGAAAAATTACATTTACAAATAGAGTTTATTACTACCTTTTTTTTTTTACATGTTGATATTCAGGTGTACTTGCCGTGGTTTATTTTTAGCCCTTCTTGTAAGCTTCCTCAGATCTCATTAATCCCACGCTTCCTTGTTGTCTGCCATCACTCAGAATTTATTTCAGTGTAAGAAAGAGATTTATATGGACATAACTGAGGGTCTTAGAGATTTTTCCCATATCACATTTTTAAAAGTACACATATAAGGTATGTCATATATAACAAAATTGATTAATATTAACTAAATATGTCAGATGTTAAGATTAAACAGTAATTTATTACATTATGATGTTAATCTATGCACTATGTTCTTTGCAAAACATTTTAAGTTTTACCAGATAAAAAGCTACTCAGAGGCTTCTACTTTTCTTTTTGCTGACTCTATATAAATATTGATTTATTCATATACCACAGGGAAGCTTTCAAGCACATGAACCAATCTTATATAAAGAACATAGTGTGAAAATAAACAAGTGCAAACAAGAGTTTGCTTCTAGTTATAAACACAGTGACTTCTTGGATGTCTGGCAACTGCTATAACATTCATCTGTTTTTTCCTATTAACTTATGTCTCTCAATTCTTTTATGAAAATAAAAGTGTTCTGTAGAACCTTAATTTTATCACATTTATTTGTCCCCAACCTTTGGCAGTGAAAGAAAGAGCACAGCTACACTCCAGAATGCATTGTTTAATAATCTGCAACACATAAAATGTATTTAACAAAAACCACAAATGCCTTGAATAAGTAAAAATTAACTTACCTATAGCATCAAAATACATATTTGGTTTGTGTCACATGAAAACCCCACATACTACTTGATTAAAAATACAGATAATTAAATAAATATATAGGTAGTTTCAACTCTAATCCTTTATCTGCTGTAACCTTTACATGGTATTTCCAAAAGGTTAATGACTTATGACAAAACTCTGCCAAAAGTTCTGCAATACCGAAAACAAGTTTACTCAGGTTTGGAACGTAAAAAATTTCATAATATTATAAGGCATGTGGTTTAGAAAACTCTGAAACAAAAATTAACATCAACTCTAAGGTTCCTGGCTCACCTACTACTCCCTAAATTCCAGACTCCTGATTTCCCGTAGTGGATCTGTGCCCTTCTAGAGACACCCATCAGGATCAGGGAGCCACCATGCATGCTACAGAGCATCAGACATGTGGGGCAGAGAACCAGTGGGGTCATCTGCTTAAATTCCTGACCTCTCAACGGTTTCTGAAAAATGCACTGGCTTCTGTGGTGCTTTTCTGAGTGTTTCCATGTTCCTCCCTGCAGTCTGAGTTCCCAGACCAGAAGTGAAGAATTCCTCTGGCCCCAGCTCGTAGAGCAGTCTGTGGTGATTGTCATGTGGTGATGCTGTAGTGAAGTTGTGGACCCTAAAACATATGCTGCCTAGGAACCTATCTGCACGTCATGAGAAGATACCTCTGACGTATTTACAAAACTATGATTTTACAACATTCTCTGAAAACAATGTTGTCAGGACATTTTGCTATCAGTTCTCCTCAGGAGCACAAATGTCACTTAAGTCAGCAGGACTTGTATATATGGGTAGGTGCCTCAGTCAATTTAAAATTCTAGGCAATGCATGTAGTACTATTCATTTCAAGAAGAGTAAAAACTGGCATAAACAACAACAAAACGTTAAATATGTAGTCTCCTTGCAAAAAGCCTTGCTAAATATTCTTTCATATTATTAGCTAAAGCTTGGGACACATGTTACTTAGGGACTTCTCAAACCATTTAAAAGATTGTACTAATAGGACCAAAAAGAAAAAAATCTATCTGTGAACTTCAAGTTGAAATAATTTCTGCATTTATTCAGAGGGATGAAGGAAAAGTCATCATGTGTAATATAAATAATACTTAATCCTTCTCTCCAAGACATATGACTGCTGTTTGCAAGGCTAATGAAATACAGAAGGGCTTTTTTTCTAGTTTTAGTAACCTAGAACACACTAAACACATATAGCAGATGGTAAATGAAGGGGCACAGCATTTTAAAATTTATAATCTTGGCAACTGTGTCACAATTACTCAATAATATATGTATTGTATTATCTTTGACATTTCTGTATAATGATACAGAATAGATGTAGTTTGAGTTACTTGTTTTTAATGGCACCTAGGTATAAAATATCTATTAAAGTTATATCTATATGCTACTGTATTTTAATTACTATCATTTTCCAATTATGACAAACATTTACATAGCAATATGCAATATAAATATTCTATCTGAAAATATCTTTAAATATAATCTGTAGAACAAGAAGTCAGAATAGGACATTTGTATGCTTATTTTACATGTGATGAGTTCTTAGGTACTGAAACAAATTCAACTTTCTCTTTTGTCCTCTAATGTAGTAGAGATTTGAAATTATACTTGGAACCTACTCAGAGCTGTCAGAAGAGACCAAGGCCTTTTTGACTCTGGTGAACTCTAAGAAAAAATGTTACTGCTGAAAATATAACTGGGGTAGGTACCCAGATTTTATGGAGAGTCAACTAAACTTGCAATAACTGTCTTAAAAAAATTACCTTGGATTTATGACTGTAGTCCCGTGTCCCAGCATCAAACTGAGAAACACAATTTTTCAGCACTACTTTTAACTAAGTAAAATGTAAATAAAGAGTCACCTTATAAAAGAAATTGGTGCGTCCAACAGATCCGATTTTTCCGGTGTGGTTCATGAAACAAATGTTTCCTTCAGTAGCACCATAAAACTCACAGATCTTAACAGCACCAAATCTGTCCAAAAATTCCCTCCATACATCATTTCTTACTCCATTTCCAACTGCTAGTCGGACTTTGTGATTTTTTTCTCCTTCTTTCTGTTAAAAAAAAAAAAAAAAGAAACAAAATTAAAATATAGTATACTGATAACTGGATTTAATTGTTGCATGTGTTGTGGGGAAAGTTCTTTAAAATACATCAAGTATAAACAACAAAAAGAAAAGAAAACAACAGCCAAGAAGTTAAATAAAACTGGCATGGCTGGCATACAGCTACAACGTAGCAAGCTGCAATCAAAAACCTATTATCTTGTTGAGCAAACAAATGATTTCCTGAATAATGGCTACAATGATTTATATAAATGCTTCCATATTTTCAAAATTGTATTGTCTCAGTCTATTTCTACCCAGAGGAATTAGAAAACTGGGAAGAACAGAGAAAGGCAGGAATTATTTCTGTCGTGGGATTAAAGTCAGAAGAGATGAATAGTTACTTTCTTCTGTCTTCAGACTGATTATGAGAAACAATCAGATTTCACACACTTGTAATATCTGTTCCTTCCCACACATTGTGTATGAGTCATCTTCTGTATTTTTTTCAATATTAAGACTTGCAAAATTTTGTTCAGTGTTACTGGGAATACATTATTTACTAGTGATCTTGAGACTTTTTATCAGCTCCCATGTTTATCACAACAAACATAACAGAATGTACCCAGTTCAGTAAAATGCTCTAATTTTATTAATACATTCCCAAACATTCAGATTGCATGGACCACTTCTAAAATACAATCAGATTTAAGATGAAATACCAGAAGGCAAAACATCTAAACTGTTGCTTTGGTTTGTTTGGGGGTTTTTATTTACACCTATTTTAAAATAAGACTCCCTTCGTAATTATTGCAAGTGGCAATACAGAATGCTCTAGAAGTGAGATGGCACAAAATAAATATAGGTACAGTTTGTTACCACACAGCTTTAGAACTGCATAGCACTCTGGTACTGCATACTGTCTGTATATAGCTTTACCTATGTACACTTATATATATATCCAGCACCTCTCTATATACAAATGCACACATATGCACATATACATATTCTTTATACATATATGTTTCTATAGATATATAGATATAGATATATACATGTTCACATAAATATATCACAGAAAAGAGTCACTATTTTCTATTCTTCTATTTCTAGTTTCCCTCCCCCCTCAACTCTAATCCAGTATGAATTAGTTATGTCTCTATAGTAAAAATCCATTTTAGCATCTTTAATCTTACATAGAAGCACAGCTAATTATTTTTGTGAAGAGATCTGGTCAGCTGAGTGAAACAGGAATCTTTTAAATATTTTGGCTCTTAAAAGCAGTAAAGCTTCTTCTGAGTACATAGACAATCCTCAGAGAATTATGTCTTGGATAAATCAAATTTTTCAAGAGAATGTGAATTTTGACTTCTATAACAAAAACTAGAAGCACAAAGACCAACAGAAAAAATCACAAAGACCAACTAAGTTTTTTTCTTTCATCTTCAAAACCAGCAACTCATAGAAAGAGAAACAATTTCTTTGTTGAACTTCAGAATCTTCCTTTTGCAAATTAAGTCCTCTTGCTGGAATTCAGCAAAGAATGCACCTATTTCACTAGGTGCAGATAGCTGTTGGCACATTACAATCTGAGACACTATCCTGCAATTTTACCTCAAAACTACATCACTCACCAGCCTCCCTTGGTCATTAACCATTCTGTTTTTACGATAACACATTTCTTCCTTTTCCCCTTCCCCTCTTCTGTCTTATTTTAGATGTGAAAGCAATTGCTAAACACAGAAGCACAGACTTCACTGACTTCCTGCTAAATCGTTATTAACAAGTGCTGCATTACATAACAAAATGAATCTGGCATGGACATAGCCTGGAACAAAGTGGTTTGTTTGTTGTTTGGGGTTTTTTTATCTTCAGATACAATATCACAATGCAACAGTGTAGGTTTTCATATGCTTGAAATAATGTCTGTTATATTACACAAAGTCATGATATTGTCATTGAACAACGAAGGTATTCCTATTTTTTTAAGAGAAAGTGTTTCAGTGTTATTTTGAACTTAATGAGGAAAGCTTTTGACTCTTTTTTTCCCCAAAAAAATTGTCTACCATTTTTAGGATATTCTGTCAGCTGAACTTAAAACTTTTGAATTTTCCTTACAGTTTCAATGCTAAACTGAAATGAACATGACTGTAGCTGAACTGCAGTTATCCCTTGCTGATGCCACTATATTATTCAAATATACTGCCTCTGCTAAAATATAAAAAATAGCTCAAGAGATACTTTCAAGGAAATCCTTTGTTCCACAATGAACAGAAGAGACAAACATATGCTTATACACACACACAGTAATTAAGTGAGACTTTCACCAGGCTAGGAACATTCAAAACCTCTAGAGACAAAGCTAATAAAAAGGTGATTTTTCTTCTATTATTTTAAGAAAAATAAAAGACAGCTGTTTGCTGAAAAACAAACTAGGATGAACTAGAAATTTGTTTTTCTCCCCAAAAGAACAAATACCTCATTATTTATAAGTGCAGTAATTTCAATTCTTCATGTTACTTTGTCTGGTTTATATTAATACAGTGCAAAGTAGTTTCTCTAGTGGAAAACATGCAGAGTAGACCTGACAGGTCAGCTTCCTGCTTTGCTTGCAGTGTTAACACCTATCAACAACATCAACAATACAATATATGACCACTGCCTCACTTTAGACAGAGGCAAAAATACAAAGGTACACACAGTTGTACCTATCTGTTGGTATAAGACTCCCTGAAGAGTACTTAAGGGATTTCTGGGGAAGACATTAAAACTGTCATTCATTTAGCAGTCTTTCAACTGTAAGAATGGAAATTATATATAATTTAGCCTCCCAGCAGGTTTAATATGTATGAAGAAAATTGTAATGATAAGGGAAATTTCAAGCAGTGAGTTTTACTCACATTAGTCTTACATGTAAGTAAATAAGTACAGCTATATTTTAGCTATTTTTATCTAAAATTATTTACAACTAATACATGATATTAATTTGTGTTAGCTTTACATGTAACTAACTTTCAATGGAAAGTGAACTGCATCTTCACATCTATTATTGTCCAGATTACTGCCAGAGTCCAGGGCAGGCATGTTGGTACCCACGGGCACTGTGGCTGAGTAGTTAGGCAGTAAATAAAATGCTACAAGTAAGGTAAGAGAAGAAAAAGGGATGACAATTCCAACAAACTGTAGAAACATGGTTGAGTATTGCAGGCTTAGGCTGTCCTAATGGAAAAAGAAACAAAATAACTTATGCAGGACCTTACACTTTAAGCTGACTAGACCAAATAGTCATGCTTTGAAGTTCTGCCACGTTCAGATGGCATTTCATCATCTAGCTTCTTTTTGGTACAATTGATAGAATTAGAGGAGTAGGAGGAATTCCAAGGAGTCACCTAGTACAGGTGTGTTCTGGGAGATAAGCTCTGCTATCCCTGTGCCATTCTTGACACCTGAACGAGCTGTGGCACATCAGCCAGATACTCAGCAACAGCTGGTCTGCAGCAATTGTCTGCATGCATATTCTCAGCCTGCTGCAAAAGCACACTAACCAAGTTAACACTTCCTACACTAAAAGCTGTGTTTCCTCACAATACCTCATTTAAAAAGGACTCAGTGCCTTGCCCTGGTAAGCTATCACCAGTAAGTTAAACAGTGTGTGTCCTGTGATAATTCGACCATGATCTGTGTTTCTGAATGCAATTAATAGCTCTCTATAGATAATTAGGACAACGGATTTTAGAATAACAGAACACGGTAACATCTTTCCAAGGTTTTTTAAAATGTCCATTTATTTATTTTCCTGCACTATGATTTTGTTTCCTTACAGAGTGATTCTGAAATAAAATGGGGGTTCAGTCTACATTCACTTATTTCTAACAGTAAAGGTGAAACATTGTTTCAATGACTTTTTTGCATTGAAATCAATCCATCAATAAGCAAGAACTGTTCCTACAGGACACCTGGATTTCTCTTCCATTCATTCTGCTAAGTTCTTTGAACTACGTGCCAAACATCTGCATACATCATAAATCATTTCTGACACAGTATGTCTCCATTTTGCATGCTTGTTTCGTTTGTATATTAATTAATTGACAAGTCAGGATCTGCCTTATCACATTAAATACCACATACTTGGAATTTTTCATCTGCCAGTCTTTCCTCCTTAAGTGTTCTTTGTAAACTATTTGGACTATCTATGTGATTAAGTTGTTGATAAAAGCCTTTTAGAGTGCTATCAACAGTGTACTACTGGTCCAGGAAGGATTCATGACTGCAGCTGTATAAAAATGTGCTTAGCAGCTGCTTTAAAATAATACAAGAAGACGGGTTCATTGTCCTACTTTTACTGTTTCTGCCAAAGGAAAAGCCAAATGGAGAGAAGCAAAGACAATTCAAGAAAAGGAGGAATGAAATGTCTGTACCATGGCCTTGATGAAACTGAAAGCAATCTCAGGGCCTGGGAAATACAAACATGTGTTAAATATAAAATATGATAAGACTGATGACATAGGATTTGCATTCATGTATTTACAAAAAATGGATGTAACAACATGTTCACCAGTCCTCTATTGACACACTAGCCCTGCAAAAGGGGCATTAGGTAGTTTATTAGACTATATAGGAGATATCCTACTATTACACGTGTAATAAATGCTTCAAGATGCATATCTACCTTTACTTTTCAGTAATGCCTAATTATAAATTGCAACTAGATTTTTTGAGCAAAACATATACCCAAACTTAAAAATACAAATAAAAGAAAACAGGAAGTGTAGAGAAGAGATGCACCATAAGAAAGGAACAGGAATTGTAGGAACAGGACACATCCTTCTAAATCTGAAAGTGGTTGCTTGCTATTTAGCACAGCTCACTCTCACCACATTTCTATTAATCAATCTCCTGATAATCTAATGGGATTAGACTCTAAAAGAAGCTTTCTTCCTTTAGTCCTTCTCATAGAAAGGTTTTATTTAGCTTCCATTTCCTCAGAAAATATCTACCAACAAAAAAAA